AAACCCTAAACCCTAAACCGACCGTTGGTGTGTCTGGGGACTCTCGCGCGCCTGCGCAGTTGAGCGATGGCGGCCCCCTGACGGTCTTCTGGGGTGGAGCCATTCGGCAGACACTTAAAAAAGGGGCTTAGGGTTTAGGGTTTAGGGTTTAGGGTTTAGGGGCTTAATTAGTAATTAGAAGAGGGTTTTGGGGTATACTGTACTATAAGTACAATAAGGACCCCCCTCCAAAAAAAACCGATTCTAATTATGAAGGCCCCTACCTTACGGTTCAAGATGAAGCCAACATGTTTATCCAAACCCCGGAGTTTCAGAGACTAGATCCCGAAGTGTGGCATCCTCAAACATACGGGCCCCGTCAATGGACCCCATATCAAAGATCCACCCATAAGATCACTAGAGCTCGAGAAGCCAATCCTGTGCGCTGCGACCCCCGGGATGTGCACTTGCTCTCTGGACCCCAGCCTTAAACACTAAGCCTAAACCCTAAACCTTAAACCCTCAACTCTAAACCCTGAACCCTAAACCGTAAACTCTAAACCCTAAGCCCTAAACTCTAAACCCTAAACCCTGGCCCTAAATCCCAAACCCCGGCTTTCAACGCATCTCAGGTCGTACCCTCCCGTCCAAACCAGGAGCATAGACGGCCCGATGACAACGGTCTCAAACCTGTTCGAATATACCCTGCCAACAAGATGCATCGTAAGACTCATCTATCCCTTGAAACCCCAGCCCTACATGCAAACCCGGAAACTCCATATACCCCACGTCCGAGATCTGTTCTCACCAAGCAGGGAATTCACCCTAAAGCCTACACCCTAAACCCTAAACCCTAAATTTGAGACTACGGGAAAACCAGACCCCTGCGACAGCAGCGGGCGCGCCTCGTGCGCAAAACTCCTTTTGCCTTCGGACCAAACGCCTTCGATGCCGGCCACCTGTCAGCGAGCGAGTTCTGGGATGCCTAGTGTGGGCCCTTTGCAGAAAGCAACAAAAGAACTCATTCACGGTACAATACACTGCAATGACGATAAGGACTGTCAATACGATAATTCCCACAGGGCTTCACACTGGTCTTCTCCCGTTCTCGAAAACTCTTGTTGGCTCGGCCCCCCGTCTCGATTATCGAGATGGGTATCGTCAGCTTTTGCAAAATCATGTTCCACCAGGCCTTGGGGTCTTGTGGCTTCGTGAGCACATCTCCGAGCTGTAGTTCGCTCGGTATCCAAGCTAGGGGCAAGCGCTCAGTCCATCTCTCAAGTCGAAGAGCCTGCCTCAGTGCCGCTAGATCGATGGCGAGGCGGCGGTCGCTCGGTGTCCTTGGTACGCCTTCTCGGTGAAGGTGGTCATAGAGTGAGCGACAGTCGCTCAGGCAGACCACAGGCAGAGTCGCGTCCTCGACCTTCTTGAGCTCGCCAAAGGTGAGAGCCTCGTAGACGGCCCGTACATACTGTCCGCCTTCTAGGCCTTCTACACAGGCCTGTGTCTCTGCACTGAATGTGCTCCTGCACACCCTTTGTCCTGCCCTCGACTTCCAGTCGAGGATTGAACACCAATGGCTTCCTCCAGCGATCGCCGACTTCTCGGTGATGACGATGAGCTCCCCAAGCTGGGACGCCACTCTCGAGTTCCCGCGCTTAGCTTTGCGGCCTTCACGATGTGAGGGAGGTCCATCGTGTTGAAGTCCGCTAGCTTTGTCCTCGTCGTAGAGCTCGAAACCCTCCTCGTCAAACTCCCCCTCGTAGGCGTTCGCCCATGCGGCATCGTGGTAGATCAGGATCACCGCCTCCTCGTCATTGACCTTACGGAAGGTCAGTCCTTGGTCGCGGTGATCTGTGGCCTTGACTGAGATGCCGTTGGTAAACTTGATGTCGCCGTAGGTTGGGCACTTCCGTAGTTGCTGTGCCATCGACACTGAGCATGTCAAGTCCGGCCGGGATTGGGCCGAGACCCAGCTCAGCGCTCCCACCAAACTCCGGTTGTCGGCGATGTGGTCGGGGCCGTTCAACGAGATCTTGCTCGTTGACATTCGACGGGATGTCGACAACGAAGAGCCTGTTCTCGATGTAGGGCTTCTGCCGGAAGACCACAGTCTCATCCTTGCAGATGATCTCCGAACCGAGGTAGGCGAACTCGTCGTCTTCCCACGTGTCAACAGGAAAGGTCTTCGACAGCTCGGCCTTGATCGCGTCACCGATGGTGGTAGAGGCGATGACGAGCAGATCGTCGACATGGCTCCCGACATATCCGACGGGTGGTCCTTCCATCTTCCCGTTGACGACCTTCCTCAACAGGAACACGCATGGGTCAAGCGGGCACTGGTCGAAGATGTAGCCGACTCACAGCTGCAGAACACCTACCGTCCGGGCCCGAGGAGGTCGGCGAATTCCTGCGGATCAAGGGTGCACAGGCCGAAGTGGAGAAGCTACTTGAAGCCGACCTCGACGCAGAGGAGATCTGCGACGAACACCTGGCCGGAGAGGACGAGGAAATGCCCTTTGCGGATGACTTGGCCGTCGCTGATGATCATCTGTCCGACTACTCACCCAGCGATCTGGAGAGCCGTCGGATGGGGCGCCGCCAATTCAGGCCGCGCCCCCGCGGAGGCTGAAGCGCAAAACGAGGCCCGACGACATCCCGATTGACACCGAGAACGTGAACGAGGCCCTCTTCATCAAGAAGGAGTTGACCAAGCGTGGCGTCGAGAAACGCCAAGAGAAGGAGCTGAAATGGTCGGAAATCCCGGCCAGCGCCCGCTCGCAGTTCAAGCAGGCCGAAGAGACGCAATGGAAAGAACACTTATCTTTCGATGCACTTGAAGCTCTCAGCATCGACGACAGCAACCGTGTGAAGAGAGAGATCGATGCAAGGCGAATACTGCGGTCGCGGTGGGCCTACAAGGACAAAAATTGGTCCCTACGGAGAGCTGATGAGAGCGTTCCTTGGAAATGCAAAGCGCGGCTGGTCATAGCGGCTCATACCGACCCGGACCTGGGCGATGGATTGTCCACGGATGCTCCGACTCTGTCTCGACCAGCTCTCATGTGTCTCCTTCAACGACTCGCCAGCGGGCTTCGTGATGATGATCCGTGGAAGGCCAGCGCGGGAGACATTCGGTGTGCGTTTCTTACCGGCGGCTACCTTAAGCGCGAGGAGGAGTTGTTCTTGCGTCAACCCAGCACTGGGTTCGCGGGACTTCACCCCGACCAGCTGGTGAAGGTGATCAAGAATATCTTCGGCCTGGCTACGAGTCCCCACGAATGGTGGTTGGATCTGCAGAAGTTGATCAAGGGGATCACCATCCACCTCAACAAGGCCGAGAGCGGCCATTTCGGGATATCCAATAGTTGTTTCCTTCTCTCCCCGACAATCACCGCCGGCCCGGTCCACCGACCGCGTCGTCGATTCTTCGGCTGGTCCCGGAAGTGCACCGTCTCGCCAACTTCCAGAGGCCTCGTAGTAGTCCTAGCCCTTTGGAGCAATGCCTTGCGAAGCCGACTATCTCCTTGAGAATGGTGGAATGCCATGCGCGCTGCGGTGCGTATGGCCGCGGCCCTTTGGTACTGACTCTCCGGGGTGACATCCCAAGTGACTCTTTCGCCTCCATCCGGGTCGGCGAGTCCCTCGGGCAGGCGAGGATGCCGCCCGAATACCCGCTCGGTAGGGCTGTGGCCACATCGTCTGCGAAGTTCGTTCTTGGCACTGGACACGAGCGAGGCTGCGAGGTGTACTTCTTCTCGTGTAATGGTGAGTTCATGACGAACTCTGTCCCATATGTTCTTCCACCAAGCGCCTTGGCGCTCTGTGATTCCAGCCTGCCAATGTGCCTGCGCGGCCACGTTCTTCACGCCCACATTGTGCCAGTCGCAAAGGCGGCAGATCCCTTTTTGTACTGCTCCGTCGAGGTCTAAGGACACAGTCCTTTGAGGGCCAAAAGGAACCACCCAATGATCATTGAACGCCTTCTCAATGTCCTCGTTGTCAAGGCCTTCCAGGGGAACGACGACGTGGTAAGATGTTCCCCAGTCGACGATAGAGAGGAAAGTGTGGCGCTCGTCGTCAATGTCGTGGTGGTGGAGCAAGTCGGCGCCCACGCAGTCGTTGAAGTCGTACATCCTCGGAACAGTACTAGGGCGAGCAATGCGGGGCCCCGCTGTCGCTGCGCAGACTTCACACTTCATCCCTTTGGCGGCTTTGATGATTGCATCTTCGCAACCCGCGAGGCGCAAGTGCCGCACCAGGTCTTCGCGCCTGGGGTGGCCGAGATTTTGATGAAGGCGGCGTAGAGAGCTCTGACTATAGGGTCCACCCCGTCGCTGAACGTGATCCCACTGCCATCGAGCTTGGGGTCAGGCCTCTGCGCGTCGCCATCTTCGCCGCCAACCACAAACACTTGATGAGGGCGGCAAGATTGCTTGAACTGTCGTTGCCCTTCCTTGGGTCTGCTGAAGCACGCCTACTTCTCGCCATGGTCATCCTCGTGACTCCATACCAGGTAGCCGGCCATCTCGTTGAGGAAGAAGTTGGTCTCACTTCCTCGGAGAACAACGTCTCCTCCTCCATCGACTTGGACCTTGACGAGCTCCAGGATATCGTCGCGCCGCTCGGGCGGCATGCCATCCAAGTTCACCCTCAGCTCCTTCGGGGTGATGCCGTAGACGAAGTGGTAGGCATCCTCTTCGCTCTGGGTCGCCAAAGTCCTCAGGTCATGGGCTCGATGACGGCTTTGTTCAACTCGACGGCCTCGTAGGTGGCGTCAATCCCGCCAATCTCGAACATCGCCGCCGGGTCGTGTTGGACCGACGGGAGGTAGTCGTTCATGTAGCTACCGACGGCCAACAACAAGGTAGTCATCATCACGCTGAGCTTTCCGGCGGTGTTGGCGATGGCGTTTCGTGCACTCTTGCGCGGCCGCTTAGTAGAGGGCGAGCCTTGTACTCCACGTAGATTAGGAAGAGGGAACCCAACTCTCTTCAGGGCATTGCAGCACTCCTTGCCGGCCTTCAACACCCCTCTCGTAGTGTGGTACGTCATGGACCAGCGCTCCCCTTCCCAATCGCATGTGGCGTGGTTGTAGTGGGGGTCGAAGGTGAGAATCCTCTCAAAGGTGTTCATAAAGCGCCCGGGCAGCCAAGCGCCACCAGCGCCTCGTCTCCACACGAGGCCGGTCATCTTGGTATCCCCCTCCTGGACGTCTCTGTCTTCCAACCAAACATTTCCACCGGCAGTCTGTCCGAAACTGCAGGTGTGGTTGGCGGTGCCCTTCAAATTGTTGTGGTCGCGATGCACGCCGGCATTCACATTCTTGCTGACTGTGAGCGAAGTCCACGTGCCCCCTTTGCCGATCTTTTCGTTCCCGAACTGGTTGAGGTACCTGCAGAGGTGGGGCCGCTCAAGCGTCAGCTTCGTGACGCCTTGCACTCCACCATGGGTGAACATGCCGAAGGTGAAGTAGGAGTGGGTCTTCTCGCTCTGCTTGTCGGTTTGCAATGCTTCTCCCCGGTCATTGCGCCTCGGCTTTAGATCGGCACTTTCCAACACGTCCTGCAGAGTCTTGTAGGAGAAGTCGCCTTTGTCGTACATCGCCTTCGCCAGCTGTTCTCCAGGAACGAGGTCGGGCCTGTCATCGGCTCGGGGTCCAGGGGACACGTTTAGAACGTCATGTTGATTGCGGTGTGCTGGGGCGAGGTCTGTGTCTACAATCACATCGTCAGCCTCGAGGTGGACCTCGCAACACCCGTGGCGGCGGCATTGGGCCGCCCGCGAACGACTCATTGTCCCTGTCCACGGGTTCTGGCCTTGTCCTTCAACAGGGCCAGACGTAGCTCCAGCTTCTTGATCTCCTCGGTGGTCTCCTCGTCGATCTCGTCGTCCATGCCGCTCGGGTTCTCGTCCTTTGTCCTCCTCTTGGTGTTCGCTGTAGTTCCCGTCCCCGGCGGTGTGATCGGCATCTGGGCGCTGCTCCGGGAGTCCAGGGCCGGCCTTGTCGGGCACGACGTTTCCCACACATGCTGCGACACCGTCTCCCACGAAGTCGTAGTTCCCGGGTCGCTCGCCGCGGGCATTGGTCGCCTGCTCATCTCGTCGGAGTCGCCCTTCGTGTAGCCGCGCTTCTTCTCCTCGTTGGCGTCCCACCAACGGGCGAATCTCACCAGGTCCGGGTCCGCGTTCGTGGACGACTTCACTTCGTTGCTCGCCCGCTGCCCGTACTGCCACGGGACCTCTCTGAACTCCATGCCGCGGTACTTCCCGATCTTCATCAGCTTGTTGTCCGGGGTGTTCAAGGAGTCCCTCACCAGGCGCAGCAGGTTCCCTTTGGTGACCCGACTCGGAAACTCCACGTTGAGCTCCATCGCCTTCTGCTTGAGCTCGTCCAGGGTCAACTGGGAAAGCCTCTTCATCTTTTCCGTAGCATCGCTCTGCTTCCGGTTCTCGCGGTCCTCCATGATGACGGCCTTGATCTCCTCTGGGGACCAGGACCTGTGCACCGTCAACCCCAATCTCACGCATTCCGACAACAGCTGCGGCTTGGTCATCTTGCTGATCGGTAGGTCGACCTGGCATGGCGGGGCGTCCGTCGGGCGCTCGAGGAAGAGTTCCGGAGGGCGGCGGTCTCTTGCTCAACACAGTCCTTCCGATCCACAAAAGCGGCATAGAGGAGGTACGTGGTGCATCGTCTTTCCACACATCGACAACAGTTTCAAGCCACCTCTCTGAACTGCAACAGACGGCTTCAGTGCACCTGAAATCGCCAAGCGTGGACAACATCATCCCTTTAAGCACCGTAGACGAGGTATGCCACAAAGCTGGACTAAACAAGGATCTCCTCGGGGTGACATGAACACTGATCCATGAATCTTCCGTTTCAACCCAGAAATCTCCTCCAACCTCGCACTGCTTCCACCATGACATGAAGCTCTCACGGCAAAGCGGGTTTTGGGTGAGCATGTTCTTAGTTTCTAGGGGGAGTTTCTTCTCATAGTAGAGGTTGTAGTAGGGCTGAGAACTACGTCCAGCGAAGGCAACAGCATGCACCGTGTATTGCGCACGGGGCTCCAGGCTCACGTCCTCAACAGATAGAACAGCTTGCATCCCACCGGCCGGCTTTGCAGGCACGATGGGAATCGCCGGGCGCCCTGACGTCGTGCTCAGCAGCTTGTAGCCCTTGAGCCCCACCTGTGTAAAATCTGCACAACCAACAGAAACATCGTAAATCATGCCCAACTTTCCCAAAGCCGTTTTGGAGAGAAGTAGTGGGATGTCGCCTGGGATGATTGAGGCACGTAGTCGGACTATCTTGTCGCCGAGGCTGAAGGAGAGGATCACGCTGAACGAAGAGTAGTGGATGCGGCCCGTCCAGAAACTTGTAAGCCTCACACTCCTTGGAAAGCTCAGGTTGCCCGCCGTCTTCGCCGATGCGGTCCATGTAGTCCTGAAGCCACTGTGTGCCCGCGACTGCCCGCGCACAAGCCGTATCGGTGATGCCCAGCAGGTTCCCGCTGATGTGCTTCATCGTCATCACCTCCGCGGGCATGGCAAAGCAGACCTCTTTGGCACCCGTAGTCGCCCTCGTAGTCTGTCCGCCTTTGCCGCCATTGTTGGGACATTCATCGTCCTTATGCCAATGGCCTTTTCGGCCGCACCCTGAGCAGAACGATCTCGCTTTGATCTGCTTCAATCGTTCCTCGCGGACCTTGGCAGCACCTTGGCCAAGATCACCGTTCTTAGCCCCGGCATTGGCGGTGTCGCCAGCGCCATCAGCCTTGTACCCAGGGGCCTTCGCGTGCTCGCGGTACTTGTTGTTTGCCGACTGGTAGGTCATGTAAGCGACGGCCACCTCCTCCGGCATGGGGTCGTCATCGTCCTCGAGGTCGTCGGGGCCGCCCGCATCATCGTCTTCATCGCCAGCATCGGTCACGTGGGCAGTGTAAGGTTTCCGCCCGCCTTTGCCTGCTCCAGATTCCCAAGGTTTGCGGTGACCACGGTCCTGGATGATCGCAGCTTTCTGCAACCTGTTTAGGCTGTAGGTGTTTCCGACACTGGCAAGCAAGTTGAGTTCCGCACCTTAGCTTCTTCTATAGCTGAAGACGATCTACGTAAAGCCATGCCGCGCACTCCTCCGGCAGGATGCAGCCGACTTCCTTCAAACGTGCATGTAGACGGTCGTACTCTGCATTGTAATCACGTATCGATTGTCCTGGTTTGCGACGTAGACGACGAAACATCTCTGAAAGAGCTTTGCCTATTCTCGTTACTTCCAAGTCCAAGTAACGATTGCGCAGCCAACTCATCAAATAGTGCACACCGTCGTCCCGACTAAGGGCATCTACATTGAGCTCCTCGGCCGCGACCCAAGCTTTTCCTGCGAGATAGCGGTAAAGAACTAGCCCTTGTTGGCTCGCAGGAAGATAAGTAAGGCGTCGCCAGGCTTCAACCTGTCTCAGGTAGCATCTCGCAGAGGTGCCCACATCGTCATCATCGCCACCGTTGAAGACCGGAACAGAGAGTTTCTCCGACGGCCTTTGATTCGCCGCCTTGTGACTGCCATTGCCTTGAAGATCGCCAGGATGATCTTTGCCGGTAGGGGCGAAGTGACGCCATCCATTCCACACAGAGTCTTCTGAACGCACATTGCAAATGAAGTCCCAAGCGCGACCACCTTGCGGAGAATCATGCCAGGCAGGAGCACGGTCTCGACCATCTCGCCACACTCCGTCATAATCGACTCGCTCGGGGCCGTGATGGAATCCATGATCCATAGTCGCCCGCTTCGTCTCCTCGAGACCACGGGCCCCCGGGCCACGTTGAGGCATCAGTGCTGTAGTCTTCCCGGCTCGTAGTCCAGCTTGCCCGCCGGTCTTGCTCACCTTCGCGCCAGGGTCTATTCCATGACCAGCTCCAGCCGGCCGCGGACTCCCACCACGAAGCTCCCTGAGAGTGGTTGCTCCACCCCCATTCATCTTGAACACTGTCGTGTCGCTCGCTTCCTTCGGACACGTGTTCGGAGGGAACCGGTTCTTCATCACCACGTGCTGCGGGCGGAGGATCGCCCGGAACTTCAACACCACTCGACATTGCCACAGCAAGGACTACGGACAACTAGGAGCGCACTAGGCTCCGCTACCAATTTGAGACTACGGGAAAACCAGACCCCTGCGACAGCAGCGGGCGCGCCTCGTGCGCAAAACTCCTTTTGCCTTCGGACCAAACGCCTTCGATGCCGGCCACCTGTCAACGAGCGAGTTCTGGGATGCCTAGTGTGGGCCCTTTGCAGAAAGCAACAAAAAAACTCATTCACGGTACAATACACTGCAATGACGATAAGGACTGTCAATACGATAATTCCCACTGGGCTTCACACTAAACCATAAACCCTAAGCCCTGAAGGGGTCCTTTTGAGTCTAGGGAGATTCTCAGGTTTCTGTCGTAGGCCGGTCTACCGGGATCTCAGTTTGAGCAAGGCTCCCATGTGTTCAAGCAAACTCTGGCCAGGAAACCCTCTTAAGCGCTAACCCCAAAGCTCCTAGCGACTTTAAAGCCTAAACCCCGTTGGGTGTAAAGTTCGCGAGTTCGGAACACAGAGGACCAGGGGGCGACCAGGTCTGACACGAAGTGCCTTGGGGTTTTGGGGCTTCAGAAGTGTTGGGGTTTACCGTAGCATCCGGTGCTCTGCACTAAACCCTAAACCCTAAACCCATACGTCCAGAAGTGTACCAAGCTTTACAAGAACCCTAAACCCAGCTTGCAAGACCTTCTGGCCCCCAATGAACCTTCCACAGCCCCAGAGCCTCCAAGACATGTTGAGGGTTTAGAGTTAGAGTTTAGGGTTTAGGGTTTCGAGTTTAAGGTCTAGGGTTTAGGGTGTAGAGCTCTGGGTTTAGGGTTTTAGGTCCTTCAAGGACTAGCAGAAGCACCGGCGCACTCCACAACTCTATAACCTCAAGCTCTAAACTCCCCACGATCTTAGGGTTTTAGGGTTTAGGGTTTTAGGGTTTAGGGGGTGTCCAACAAAAACGCCCTCAAAAACACAATCCCATGCCCAGCTTCCCCAGCCCTAAGCCCTGATCCCTAAACCCTAAACCCAAAACTCCACACCCCCCCTAAACCCTAAACCCTAAGCCCTGAACCCTAAACCCCTAAACCCCCTAAGCCCTGAACTCTAAAACCCTAAACCCCAAACTCTACACCCCCTAAACCCTAAGCCCTAGCCCTAAAGGTCGTGAACACGCGCTTCATGGAGATGAAGGACACGATCAACCAGGTTGATCCTCGCCTGAAGCTGGTGCTGGGGGTTTAGGGTTCAGGGTTTAGAGTTTGGGGTTGGGGTTTAGGGTTCAGGGTTCAGGGTTTAGGGTTTAGAGTTTAGAGTTTAGAGTTTAGGGTTTAGAGTTTAGGTTTTAGGGTTTAGGGGGCGGTTGATCCTCGCCTCAAGTTGGTGCTGGGCGTCTTTCTGTTTTTGGGAGTTTTGGGGGGTGGTAGACTTGGAGGCTGGAGGTTCCGAGGGTGTGGTGTAACGAAGGGGCCTTAATGATTATGACTAGAATAGGTGAATAGGGTTTTGGGGCCCTTTCTACAATGATTATAGTGTTAAGGCCACCATATTGGAGGCTTTGGAGCTTTTTGTCGTTGGCGCTTTCGGTTTTGGCTTTAGACGCTTCTGGCTTTCGGGCTTTGCAACTTAGGGCAGAGGCAGTCGACGCCCGAAGCCGCGCATTCGATGAGGGCTTTAGCGGATTGAGGCTTGGAGTTTAGGATTGGATCGAATTCCGAGAGCCTGAAGCCTTAAGCCCTGAACCATGAAGATGCATCACTAAACCCTCAACCTTCAACCCCCAAATACTAAATCCCCGAACCCTGAAGCGCTCTGAATCCTAGGCCCTTGGCCCTATACGAAAAGCCCCTGGATCAAGCAGTGATACTCAGCCTGTGATTGGCCCAGACTCAAAACCCTAGGTATGATCTAAACCCTAAACCCTAAACCCTAAACCCTAAGCCCTAAGCCCTAAACCCTAAACCCTAAACCCTAAACCCTAAACCCTAAACCCTAAACCTATCAAGTCCCTTGATCGAAACCCCAAAGCCTAAACCGCCCAGATTCAGAGCTTCCGGGCCATGAAGGTGCCTGAAGGCCCTCTGGGTGTTGAGGCTTTACTAGGATTTCAGATGGGTTCTCCAAACTAGGGTCCCTTTTCAGGTCCCCAAGATAGTACGGCACCCTTATAATCTAGAAGAAAAGCTCAACCCTAAACCCTAAACCCTACCCTTGTGAGGGCTAGGTAGGGATTCGGTCGGTTGACGCCTCAGGATTGAGGCTTCCGGGTTCAGGATTTCAGGTTAGGGTTAGGGTTTAGGGTTTAGGGTTTAGGGTTTAGGGTTTAGGGGAGGCTTAGGGTTTAGGGTTCAGGATTGCAGGTTAGGGCATTTTGCTAGACTGAGGCATTGGCTTCCGGGATTAGAGTTTAGGGTTTAGGGCTTCTTGGGTTTTGGTCCATGGTCAGCCCTGGCAGGGGTTTACAAAAACTTGGTTTTCGGGCCAATTTGTTCGAGACGTTTGATGTTTGATTTACCTATTTTTTTGGTTGCGGTTTGTTGAAACCATGGTTTCCTTGCAGTCAAGTTCCGGGCTAGTGGTTGGCGAGCTTCTAGTTGTGCGGATTTCGCCAGAGGTTTTGGGGTAGAGGTTGAAACCCTAAACCCTAAACCCTAAAACCCTAAACCCTAAATCCTAAACCCTAAACCCTAAAGCATACACCCAAAAGGGTAGTTATCGGCTTCAGGCTTGAGAACACGGGTCGCAGCGGTACTGAAGCTCAGAAATCCCCAATCCTTAGCCGCACGGCGCGCCGCATTGCGGACCTTTTCGAAGCAACACTTAGACTAACTACATGGGTAGTTGTCAAAATTATGGTCCCTTTTGGGGTGCCCTAAGTACTAGGTGCCGTATTATAATAAGGACCCAAAAAGGGACCATAATTTTGACAACCGCCCACATTCAACATTGCAAGTTTTCAGTGTGCCCGACGGTGGGTACATTCAGACGCACAGACGAGCTCGTGAAGGGACCGGAAAGGATCTGGAGGGAAATCGCTTCCGGCAACACTGTCTAACCCTCCGTGAAAGCCGCAGCAGGGACGACCGGTAAGATTCCGAGGCAATCTTTCACACACCCTGCTTGATCATGGTACTGAGGCCGAAGCAGATTGACCTGAGTTGCCACG